CAAGCAAAATGTGTGGGATGAAGGTATACTTTGAAATAATGTTGTATAATGAAACAATTATGTAATGATGGTTGTTAATATAGGAGTACGCAGTATATTACATTGGCGAGTATCGAAAACTTCGCATGAGTGAGTTAATATTATCCTCGCACGTTTTCTTGTGCCCTCATTTAGCTAGATGCAAGAGGAGTGGGGTAGTTGCTTATTTCGTCATCAAACTATTATATAGACTCTGAAGCTCGTTTTATGATGAAAAATAATTTCTGTTACACGGGAGCGAACATTTCTGGATAACAGAATTTGTCAACAACGCTCGTTGCTATCATTTATTTCTAATTCAAGTAATATTAGTAAAGGAGTGAGGGTACGTTTTCCAAGGCTCAAGAAAATGTGCGCATACACTATTAATAAAAAGTACCTCGTACAGTACTTTCTTCAATGACAAATGAGAAATAGAGAGATGTCCAGAAAGACGTCACAACATTTAGCGGGAAAGTGATAGGTGGCAACCTCTGCTGAGCGCGTAAGCGCTTCCTAGAGAATTACTAAGTTTTTGGTTATGCGCAAAGGCGGTCATTTGCCGCATATTCTCTCTCGTACTTGTAAGCGAGAAAGGCTTCCCACTATGGTACATTGTGACTATGGACTGAACGTGAATGGGGCCCACGAGAATCTCGGGCAACGAGAATGCATTCTCGAGAAGGAGACGACTCGATAATCTCGTAACTAAGGCCACAGAGGGAGGGGAATGAGTTCGTGCCACCTGGAACGTAAAGCATTATCGAACTTGTGGGCATGCGCAGTGGCACAAAATCCATAGTTTGTGCACGCCATAGCGTCAGCATTATCGATCTTCTGCGCATGCGGAGGTGCATGAAAATGGTGCAAAAATTGAACTGCGCACGAACAAAGATCGATAGTGCTTTAACGTTCGAGGTGGCACAAACTTCCTATTTTAGAGCATTTGTGCATGCGCAGAAAATGCTGCGCTGACGCTATAGCGTGCACAAACTCCGTAACGCCAACGATATTCGTAGATATAAGGAAGTTTGTAACAGCCTTAGCATCAGCGTTATCGATCTTCTGCGCATTCGCAGATGCACGGCGTGGGAAATATTTAAAAAAATACATTTGTGTAATATTTTAAAGAAAAAAAACAAACAAATGAATACCACAAAATGGACTTTCCGTCATATTAAACATTGCAATTAGCACTATCCGTTGAAAAATAGTTAAAGTTTATAAGAAGCCTTTCATAAAATCACAACAATGAAAACTGAAAATAGTTCCATTTATAGCAAGAATGGAGTTTTTAACTTGTATTGATAAGCAATTACATGCCCATTGTTGAGATGTGTTGATATAAATATTGCGGTGTAATAATATTTCGTTACCATTACTAAGGGTGAGGAGGTATATGCTATTTTAGCACTAATCTTTTTAATGCTATCTATTCCTCGATATAATTTATTTCAATAATTTTAGTATGTATTACACTTTCAGGAAATTTTAGTCGTTTTCTCGTAATTTTGTGTGAAATTGGGACAACTGTCAAAAAATACGTAAACCAGATTTTCTCAAAAACATCTGTAACCTTTTCTTTAAACATTTTGCACAAATAGAGAAATTTGTGACGATATAGATTTTGTACGGAGAGTAATATTCTTCAATATTAAATTTTTAATTTTTTCTTGTACAATGTATTATGTATTGCTGTACTTGTACTGTTCTTGTGCTATGCGTTTGTGTATTGATCAGTAAGTATGAAGAGAAATGTTTCTGGAAAAACGACCGATGAAATAAGCAATCCGTTGGAGGATCGCAAAGGGACCTAATGGGAATTTGACGTATATGTGCATGGGTGTGTGTGCACGCGCACAGACATGCACACTGAAAGGGCAGCTAACTTTTTAGAGAAAAAATATTTTTATTGGAAAGGTCAACAACTTTTTATATAATTTATTTTACGTATTACGAGATTTTTTGTTCAAAACAAAATTTACTTCATCCTGACAAATGTGACCGGAGATTATTACTAGAAAGCGAACATTAGAAAAAATGCTGTGTTTCGAGCCGAAAAATACATACACCTACAATTTCAGTACCTTCATTGAAAATCAATAGACGATGTAGATAAGACGTACTCTGAAGAGATTAGAGAAAACAAAAACGTCCCAATGGAAGTCTAAATGAGCCTCCGGAAAAGATTAATCTGGGAAAAGGCCACAATAATCCTCCAACATGATATCAACTCAAGTCGTTAAGACTTTTTGATACCGTTTTCTAGATATTAGAGATTCTCAGGAATGCAATATTTGAATCAACCTTATGCATGGACTGACGGGTAGAACTATATAAATTTGAAAGAGCAGTGCAGAGCAGTTCTGTGAGAAAGTGCTCAGATGTTTCACACTGAAAAAAGAGGAACAAACTCTTCAAACAATGAACCGAATTTCGAAAATCATTTGTCGACCGAGTATGAAGAGATATATACAAGAATTTTCTGAGCAGACAACAGTTCATGGAATAGGACACATAATCTCTCAACACAGACACTCATCAGAACGGTATGCCACTGAAACTAGTATTTTAGAGACAATGAGTGTATAATAGGGCAGGGATACAGGAAACGTGCTTCGTTACTGCATAGCGACGTGACAACCGTTTCTCTTTTCCAACACTTCCATAAGCTTGAGTCTATGGCACGTAAATTCATTAAGCACTACAGAGAGATACCACCAAAGAGAAAATCTTTGTTCGAGTAACAACGACGAAAACAGCAAATTGTAGAATGAATGGAATTGAGATGTGAATAATGACAATGTTTATCGAAGCAGAGCGCGGCACAGTTCCATCATAAGTTCTTCTCTATGGTGTAATAGCATAAGCTCCAAGTAACCATTTGACGTTTCAAGTGTAGATTTGCATTTCACACGTTTTAATTATAAGACTTTGCTTTTTCAATTAGTTACCGATTGGAATGGAAAACTGCAGTGCTGTAGCTAAATTGCGCTAATCCTGGAACCGAATAAGAAGTCTTGCAGCATGTTTTTCGGAGTATGCAAAAGACCCGAGTCTATCAGGAGCTCCTTGGTGTATACCATTTTTGAGATTTTGCGCAAGCGCAACTCGAAATGCGCATGCGCAGAGACTCGCTAAAAAGCTTCTACAAAAAGACACTATTACTATAAAGACTGCGACGAAACTCGTAGATTACGCAAAACTCTTTATATGGATACGGATACTTACCTGTGAGGTTAAAACGGTGTAGAAAGTACTAGTAAAATAACTTGACTAAACACACATTCATACAGATATCCGTAACCAATACAAACACATATCCGTAACGTACGTGTCTTGTTACTTATGTATAGTAGTAGTAGTTGTTCCTCAGGTCACGAGCCACCTCTGGTGATCCATTTATGGATACACTCAGCAATTTAAGGTTGCCACAATTTGCACAATTGTTCTTTCTATTTTCTATGTTATTGCTGCTACCATATTCCTCCACTTCACTCGATACTCCTTTTTTAGTGCATGTGTCTATATGTAACAATAAAATTATTTTGTTCATATGTATACATGAACACAATAATTATGTTGTTTTGTAACATTAAGAGCTTGTCCTTATGGGGAGTCGAAGGCATATTCCAGAATGTCACTGAGAGAAAATGTACTTCTTAGATCAAATATCTTCATTTACTCATGTCGGAGGTAGAAATTCTGTCTCAACATTAAAAAGAAGTTTTTAGTAGTAAGTTTAGAAAGTAAAATTGCACCTTGTTTTAGTAGCTCTTGTGCTTTTATCTGAATGTATTTTAAACGTTCGACACTGAAACCTGATTCAAAATCAATTTTAAAGTACCAAGAACGTATAGTTCTTGGACTGGGAAGAGCATTATTGAATTTTTTTCTACTCTATACATATGATTTAGGGGGAAAAGAGTGCAATGTCAGGGCAAATTACCTCAATATTTTATCATAAGCACCTTTAAGCACACTAGTCGCTGAATTCGCGCGGGCTCGATCAAAGACATACATCTGATGGCAAACAATTTTTTTAATGTCAGCATTACTCTTCAGAAGCAACTTCTCTTGCACTTAAGTGTCAATAATTGATTGGTCTTTATTTTTTTCCTGGCGCCTCACTTTCTGCTGTAACACTTTTATTTTCGTCTGAAATGCAGTTTGCGGTATGGTTCGCAAGCGATCTGATTTGCGCGAGGATCCAGGAAACAAGCGGACAGTACGAATCAAATAATTTTTAAGGTTAGTATTCGCATAAAATGCGTTGGATAGACTCAACGGTGTTTTATGTTAACGTGAAGGACGAAGGCCCGAGCCTCGTCCTTAACTTGGTCACGCGTAGCGAAGCATCGTAATTCGGAGTGAAAGTGCGTCGGCCGACACACTGTGGCCGCGCCGCCAGTGAGTCATTCTTGGACTCTACAGCGAGCGGCAACGAATAATACCGCAAACTGCATTCCTACCTTATTTTCTTCGTAGCGTTACACAGTTTTTCATTTGTTTTATTAAGTTCCTCGATTAATTTTCTTTTGTGTGGAGATACATGTGGGCTGCGAGGACTGAGGAGCACAATGATGAATATTGCTGTTGAGACCAGTTGCAATCGCCTCATTCGTTTTCTGATGAATTTCTTTTTTAGGTTGTTTTCATGGCGTCTTTACATGTTTTGAAGAGGTGAAGGATACGCTGGAAA